TCAGGACTTGGAGCACCGCGGAAAGCCGCGGCTTCCTGTTCTACCGGCTGGGACTCCTCCACACTATCTTCCATGGCACCCCCGCCTCCACCAAAGAACGAGTGGTCGAACGTGAAATCGGCCTCTTTAGCATGAACACGGAATGCCTCCCGCTCGAACTGCTTCGGATTCTTCTTGGGCTTGGAAGTCTCTTTTGCACCGCCTCTGATGAATTCTGTGGTGTTCCTTTGCTCATATTCTTTGGCCGGGAGCCAAAGCCTGAGAGCTCCCTTGAACCCATCATTGTCTCTGCGATATGGCCCGGCCAACTTTTGCAACCACTCTGAACGCATGTCTTTCTCGTTGCGACCGAACTTCCGCACTTGTCGCAAAACCCACTCGTCCTCCTCGAACGGTCTGGTCTCTGCACCGGCCGTCTTCTGGAGCAGCACGCCAAACTCCTGCTCCCACTGTGTCATGTCCACGAGGGGAGCACGGCTAAACATTGGCAGCCCCACCGACCGCTTGGCCATAAACTCCACCTGAGAGTTTGCAAACTCCATGTCTTTGCACTTCTCCGCGAACGCCTTGGCTGCTTCCTCGCCTTTCTGCCTGAGGATCTGGTTCCTCAAGTTGTCAAGGTGACGATGATGATGATTGCAATGTCGCCGTCCGGGCTTGCTGTCGCAGTCGCATGATGGAAAGCCACACAACTTCAAACGCCCCCTTTGGTCATGTGCAGTGGTCGAGGATCCTGCCGAAGTGGATGCTGCAGCGGTACTTTTGGGCTTCCTTGCTGGCAGACTACTTGCTGAAGATAGAAGGTCCGTGACGTCCGGCACCTCGAAAGCATCCGATCCGTCCATGTCCACGCTAGAGCTGCGAGCACCGCAGCAACAATGCTCTCAAAACAAAAGTGATCCCTTGCAAGGCATGACGACAAACTGTGGTCCAATGGTTTCATGTCAAGCACGACTGGAAGTGCTTGCAAACACGCTTGTATTTGCACGCACAAACCTCGCAATCACTTCCTCAAGCGGTCACTGAGGGGCCCGAGTCTCCGAGAGGATTACGGCCTTGCAACACGTACACACTACACAGAGCTGGGTATGACCTGTTATGACCTCAACACACACAGGGCGACTATGAAGGTACATCAGTACATCAGGTCAGTATTTCCAAGACCCTAAACCCTAAACCCTAAACCCTAAAAACCTATAAACCTCCTCATACCCAGCCTTGGCGGACCCTCATAAGGGCGACTATCTACCGGGTAGGATCGAGGCACGCACATTAGAGACAGGACGAAGAAAAACTATTTATCACCATGCTTCTGATGTCTACTTCTTAGACCAGTGTTGCTCAGGCCCCAAAAAGGCAAAGTGCCCTACTGCATGCAGCTACAGCTACGGCACGTGCAATCATATCATTGAATCAGTTCGTGCCATCTGTGCACTGGCCATCCATGACACGAGACGACAATCGTAAAATCTTTCGCTTGGGCGGGGTCTCTTTGACAGCGGGCATTGGCACAGGCAGCTTTGAAAGATCCGCCCTCCTTCGCACATTCCCTATAGCAAACATCATCCAAGCAGAAAACGACGGCACGTGGATGCCGTTCCCTGCAAAGACTCGCAAGTCGCTGTCTTTGAAATGCTGAAATACACGATGCAGCGGTGACAAACCTCGATCAGCTGCAATCTCCGGAAACATGTCAATGCCCTGGGCCCCGAGAAGTTCAGAGCCCAGAACCAAACGTTCTTCTTTCCATGAGTAAATAGTAGCATGTGTGTCCAGACACGGCATTTCCGGCCCAGATGCTGGGCCGCAGCCTGTGTTATGGTCTAAGTGAGCCATGTAGTGACCGGCCAAATCCTGACGGAAATCTCTCACCTTATCATAATCAGCAAAGCGAACCATACCGCCGGGAGGGAGCAGGCAGGTGAGATAGCTTCGCATGCTGCACTCTTCGAATCCCGCCGGTAACTGCCTGCCACGCTGAGCTGCAGTGTCACGAGCAAACTGAAGAACAGATGCTGTGTCAGCGACCATGTATACATCACCTGGAAGTTGGCAGGGCGAGTTGAACATGTAGTTAAACTGTGACTGGAGTGCCTCGCCCTCTGGACCGACCCACACCCATTTGGCTTTGTCAAAACCAAAAGAGAATGTTCTGTTCCTTCGCATTGGGAAGCCTAGTTCAGAGGGGCAAACACAAACGAACTTCACGTCGTGGGTCTCCTGCAAAGGTTCAACCTGCCTCTGAACAATGGGATAAGCCGAAGAATTCTCTGTGAAGAACCAGTCCTCGCAACCACGCTCCGCAAGCAAGGCTCGCTCTCTAAGCCAAACAGCATGGAATGGCTCGGTGAGACCAGCTCCTTGCATGCCTCGACGCTTTCCCAGAGGTGAGTAGTCTGTGCACACAAGCCCTGCGATGCTAGACACCACAGGCAGCTGGTCTTCAGCATCCGGAAACAAGTCCTGCATCTTCTTTTCATGCCAGGGGTTGCTGTTGAGCACACTCGTGCGCCTTCTCTTGGAAGGGGAAGGGCTCGGGCATGGCCAAGCCTCAGTCATGTCACTGTGTACAATGCCAACCTGCTGCATGGCTTTCAAGACTGGCATTGCATGGACTGGACATCGCTGGCGATGCATTTCACAAAAGCACCGCCCATCATCGCTGAAAGCTTTGGACCCACTCGTCTTCAAAAAATCGTCAATAAGCTGATTGGCTTGCCTGGCCTCAGCTGGATCCATGTCCTTGGTGGGCCCTGCAGCTGCAATCCACTCTCGGGTGTTCGGCTCAAGTCTGTCCGTGATGCCGCTGAACACACAGTCGCTCCCTCCACTTAGCATGTCACTCTGCAGCATCAGGCACTGCTTCTGTATTTTCCCATGATCACAGGAACGCACAAACTGCACGACTGGTTCCTTGGTGGCCAGTGCCGTTGAAACAGCCTTGGCCATGATACGACAACACTCGCGGGGTGCATCGAATCCACTGAACTCTGTCGTGACGCAAAGTCCATGTCTCAAATTCTCAACCCAGCGAGCTCCTAGGCCAGACTCTGCGGCCTTGTTGGCCAAGCCCTTGTCCCAAGAACTCAGCTCTTGAAGGCTTCCCGGACCGACGTCGTCCAGGAAGCTGCTGCTTCGCCGATTCAACTTCATCACGGAACCTTTGGTGGATTTACAGAAAAGGTGCTCAATATGACGCTGGATATGCTTCCTCGGAACAACGACTATCTGAGAAGTTAGGCTTGAGAACTGCATGTTTGTTTGAACGATATTGCCACATGCTTCAAGTCACTGAGAGGGACATGCGACATGCAATCCATTCATGACAACGAAGCACTTTGTTCACACACCAAGCAATGTTTGCCGTTGTGCCTTTGTGAAATAGCAATAACTCCGAATATGTTTGCTAGCGCCCAAAAACCAACTGGTTGGAAAGGTTGCCTTCGGTTTGCACAAGAAAACACCGCAAGCATGGAAAATCATGAAAATCTGCAGTTGTGCATCCAATCCGGCAAAATGTGTAGTAAATGCGGCAAAAGACACCAAAACAAGCAATAATCACAGCAAAACCTCCAAGAACCACAGAAATCACAAGAAATGCTCTGAAATCCATGGTTTCGCATGAAAACCTATGAAATGCATGAAAACACATGAAAATATATGAAACTGCATGAAAACCACTGAAAAACACATGATTGTCGCTTCTTTCCACAAAAATTCCCTACCTCGCTCTGCTCTGTGCTGTTGGGGCACTGGGACCTCGGGGAACTTCGGGGAACTTCGGGGAACTTCGGGGAACTTCGGGCAACTTCGGGCAAACCCCCAAATCCCCCTTAAATTGGCTAAAAATACCTCCAAAAAGCCCTAATTCAGGGGCTCCAAACTTCGGGCAACTTCGGGGAACTTCGTGCAAACTGCCTGTGGCCCTGAAAAACGCCACTTCTCCCTGCTATTCCAGAATGTCGAGCTTTTCCGATGTTTGGGCCGGCTACATATACCAAAAGGAGGCTCCCTTGATGGCTGGAAAGGCCACCACTCAAGAAACTGATGGCTTAAGCTGGCTCAAGTGCCATCACAAGCCCATTACACGCAATCCGGCTTGAGTTGGAGATGGTTTCTTCGAGTTCTGCTACTCATGACCACACACAAGCCTCACAGGACGTGCCAGCATGGGACCCACAAGGTAAAAGGCCTCTCCCCTGCAACAACTGATATCGTTAGGGATTTCACAGGCTTGGCGGCTTGTCTATGGCCTCTAGGGGGGGCTCAGAGGCTTGTCGAAGCATTTGCCTACCGAGCCCTACAAGTACTTCTCAAATCTTTACAATCATCGGCTGCAAGCTGCGAAATACAAACTGCTGTAGTACTGTAGTAATTGTAGTAACCTCTGCAAAAGAAAAAGCGATGTCAGCAACTTGTTGCCGCTTTCTTCACATCGACTAGTATACTTGGCGGATATGTTTAAGAAGCACTGCGGAAACGACGGCTGCTCTCCTGTTGTTTTGCTTTCAAGCACGATTGTACACGTGGGACCGACCGTCACTCCCTGTATAATTCAAAGGAGGGTCTTCAGGTGCATCTTCCAATTGCCCGGCCTTAAAGTCCCTCAGAACCTCAGACCATATGTCGCCCATATGCTCTTCGGCAGAGACACAGTGCCTGCCGCGGATCAACCAGGCTTTCAGCAAATTGAGAGTTTGCTCAGGTGTTCTGTCACGAGTGGTACCCTGGAGATGCTTCCGGCACTTCTTGTCGTTGTGGCAGGGATGATTGCATTGCATCTCCCATCCATGGGGCTGCTTGTCCTTATACACCCTGACAGCATAGCCGAGGCCATACCGAAAGCCTCCTCGAGGATTCACGGCCCTGTTTGCAGATGCCTTTGCCGCGGCTTTGCTGCTGGGGGCAGCAACTGCACCAGCTGCTTCACCACCATCATCATCTGTCTCAGAGGAACTAGAAGACGAACGCGAAGACGATTTTCCTGAGGAGGACTCTGAGCTGGAACTCGATGCCGCTGGAGCATCGTTCTCATCTTCATCTTCATCCTCTTCGCCTGACTCCAACATCGCAAGAGCCTCATCTACAATATCATCTTCGTCTGCCGGGTCTGCCGCATCATTGCCCAGTGCTTCCATGGACCCTGGCCCAGCAAGTGCTGCTGCATCCCGTCGTTGCCGCTTAGCCGGTCTTCTTGGCTGCACATCATCTTGCAACGCAGGAATGTCCCACTCGCCCTCCTCGACGTTCTTCACGATCAAGGCCCGCTTGACAGCTCGGCCACGCGCGGCGACTGGGCGGCCTTCAACGATGGCCTGGTAAAAGCCAGCTGACTGCCAATGCGGCACCTCTTTGTCGCTCTGTAGCAAGGCCAGCAAATACCAGGACGACACTGTATCAACACCAGGCTTGCTATACCATACCTTGGAATCTGTTCCTGGCACGTATGGATCATCCTTGCCTGTGTCTTTGACCACGTGGGTCCATCCCTGGGCATCCAGCAAAGCAATCAGTTGCCACACAGAGCTCTCAGGGGCCTTCACATCATCTTGCAAAGCCAAGGGCTGCAAAGGACGCTTCAAACAGAAGCCAGCTTTCATTCGCTGAGTCGCCGAGTCACGCAGCCGCCACTTGGAAAACCGAGCATCGCTGGAGACCCTGTCCAGCAGACCTGCATCAGCCAGAGAGGCCAGGCAATGCTGCCAGCCCTCAGTGCCTGGACCACGCTGGTCCAACAGATACCCATCCTCGCCATGCCTGGCGAGCACATCTTCAATCACCGATGGCAGCACATTTCTATCACCAGGGGACAGTTTCGAGGTGATCTCGGCATCGCATCCCCAAATGCCATATGACAGTCTATCATCGGAAGACCACTTGAAAATCTGCAGCAACTGCTCGCATGAGAAGCTTGCAAAGACAACACAAACGGCTGCTTCTCGTCGCTGTGCAGCCAATCAACAGCAGCACAGTCTACTATCACCTCGTTCTTGGCAGCATCTGCATGCAAAACCCGGTGTGGGGCTATCACTATGTCAGCGGCATCGAAGGGCACCTCATCCTCAACAGTCTGCCGGATGAGCTTGTTGGGTGCACATCTGACAATGTGAAAAAACATAACCTGCCGAACAGCTTCTCCAAAGCGTGTAGCCGCTTGCACATGATCGAAATCTGCGACAACATCGTCCAAGTCAACTTGAAAGGACGGCAGCTGGATCCGAGTGTCATGCATACCACCAGCAAGCCTGCAACCCTGGGGGCACAGCGAGCTCTGCAACCTTCGCAAGACTCCAGGCTGCACGGGGATGCAAAACATTTCTTGCTTCTCTTGCTCAAGCTTCTCCCGTAAATGCTGCAGCATGTACTTCTTGAGCATAGGAAGTGCACTTGAATGCCGCTCACAGATCCCGCACAAGCTGTTCTGACCGTCTGGCAACAACGCGACCTGCAAGCCATCGCCTGCTTGTCCACCGTCACCGCGACCGCGACCTGCCGAGAAGCACACTAGCCGGGATCCATGAGCCATGGTCTTGGGGGTTGGCGGTTGGCCTCGTTCTAGGCCGCTATGGGCTCCAACTAACCTGGGAAAAGTTTGGATTCTGCTACGTTTCCGCTGGGGCTTCAACCTACATATCTTGCTCTCTGCAAAAGCTGTACGTTCCAGATATGAACACCGCTCGAACTATGACGATGCATCAGGCCGGTATTTCCAAGACCCTAAGCCTAAACCTTAAACTCTAAAACCCTATAAACCCTAAAGCCTAAACCCTAAAGTCATACCCAACCTTATACGAAAATGAATTTTTGTACAAACTCACAAAACGGACCTTGGTGGACTCTCAAAGCTCGCCAATTATGTCTTAATCGCAACACTTCTGCCTGCATCACCATCGGCTGGGCCAGGCATCGCATCTTGCAAAGCGGCTTGCGGTGCATCACGGTCACCACCGCGACCGGGCATCGGCTTCATGCGAACGTCGGGGGGGGCTGCTGCATACAATGTGTGTGGATCGGCATGATAGATCACCAGACCCTTCATCGTGTCTCGATATCCTCGCTTACAGACCTGGTCCCTGTTACGCAAGGATGGATGGCCCGACAACCCAACTGCAAGAGTGGCTTCGTGATGGTTCCGGGTGGCCTGGCAATACCACGCAAACGACTCCAAAGGCAGTGTTCCTGACTCTAAGCTTCTCGCGATTTCTGCTGATCGCACAAAGTAGCTCTGGAAGTGCAGGCTGTGGTTCGGCCTACTGAGCCCATGCCGGTGAACCTTCGCATGTTGTCCCTCCACTGCTCTTTCAGACGTTGGCACAAATCTGAGGCTGCCTACAAACTGCTGTAGCGGTTGCATGCCTGCTGCAAACAATGACTCGCCTGCCAACCATCGTTCACAATACTGCCTAAGTGGCCCTCGTAGTCTCTGCACCAGGGGATGGGGGCAATTTGAGGACAAGGCTTCACGAGCAGCTAACTGTGCCAACACCTCCGTGCCATGACTCACCTGCAGAACTTTCCACGGCATCTGCTGCAAATGACTCAGTTTCAAAGTAAAGTAGAAAGCAAGATGAGCTCTGGCCCGATCAAATTCCTTCATAATGGAATGCCGCTGCCCTGCATCAATGTCAGCTGGCAAAAGACGTAGCACTTCAACCGCGCTCCTCTGCCAAAGGTCTCGAATCAAATCTAGAAACTCCCCACTCGAAAGTTCTGCGGCTCGTTTACCTCGCAAAGGACATGTAAAAAACTGTTTTCTGACCTCAGGCGGAACCTCTTCTGCTGGCAGGCGCAGCAGGTGTTAGTGGCACGGGCACGCTTCAGCCCATGCAACGTGCTTTCGAAGCAAAGAACAGATCACCTCCAGCATCGAAAGCCAAGCCCACCATGCTGGGTCGCTGACAGCCGTGGAAACGTCTTCTGCAAGCTGCACAGCTCCACGCTTTGTACTTTCATCTTCATCTGAAAAACCTTGCAAAAACAACCGTTGGTCATAGCATGTAACCATCGCATGTTTCACTCGAAGCAAGTGTGGTATCGAGAATGCTACTGTGTGCCACCGCCCTGTATGCACCCAGCCCTCGAAGCTGTTGATGTCCTGCGCCAACACAGGTCCCTGGCCGTGGGCGAAACATCTTTGAAGAAGCTTCGGCTTGGTATCCCGTTTTCGCAGCATCTTGCACACCTGTTGCGCCAAAAAGATATTCTCCTTGTACTTCAACATAACATCCTCCAAACCCTTTGTAGCATTGTCAATGACGTGATGCAACCCAGGGATTCCAAGCAGGCCCTCGAAGCTTAATCGTAAAGACTCCGGAAGCTCAAAGGACATGTCATCATCGACATCACGCAAGTCCACTACAAGCGGTGCTGCAACAGGGTCTTCGAAATCTGCCGCATTTGCCGGAGCATCCCCACCATCTCCAACAGGACCTGAAGCGAGCGAATGGATATCCTGAGGGCTTGTGTCTTCAAACCAACACGTGATGTCCTTAGCAAGAACGTCGGAAGCATCCACGAGGCGACGTTCCACCCCGTAGTCAGATGCAACAGTCAGCAGGCTGTCGGTCCATCGACGCAGGCCCTCATCATTGAAAACTTCCAACCGTGCCCCATGCAACAATGCCCACAATTTGTGCTGAAATGTAGCCACGCCAAAACCAATCAAGACAGTCGGAAGTGCATGCACATGCAAGGTCTTCTGAATGTCACTCATGTGCTTTGCATCCTGCTCAATTGCAGCTTTGTCATTCAAGTCGGGACCCGCTTCATCATCAGACTTCCAAAGCGCCGACAACTTTTGAAAACTTTCAAGCATGAAGGGAAGATCGTCTTTGTCAATTGTCTGAATCAGCGCCATCTGATAGTCCCTTCCAAACTGAGGCGAACTATCCCACATAAGATACCTCACCTTGTCAGGGCATTTCCAGTTGCACACACGATGATGTAGCATGAAGCCCACGTCCAACATTAAATGCGACCTGCTGACTGTACCCTTGTCCATTTTTTTCACATTTTTCAGCATCTCAGTAGCTGTCTGTTGCAAGTCTTGAGGAAGCGCAAGCCGCAGAGCACGCTGCATGACATCCTGTAAGTCTTCAGCATTCCGCAACTTCTCGGCCAACATGACAAGCTCAATCATCTGAGCAAACACTGCCGAGCGATCTTTCATGCTAGGCGTCTTCAAGGCGTCTTCCCGCTCCTGCAGTCTTGCGACCCAACTTTGCAGCACAGCTTCATTGCCAGAAAGGCCAACCTGCAAACAATCTCTCAAGTCAGCAGCAAGCTCGCCACCGTCCTGCAACACAAATGCTCGCGACTCAGCCATAACATCAGCTCGTGCGCGACGAGACATCTCGAACTGATGTTTCATCTCAGGGATGAGCCTTTGCCTGAGCCATCGCGAAGCACGCCACCAACCAACGCTTTCGGCCGAAGGCAAAATCAAACGTTCAAAACATCCCTTCAGTGACAGAACTGCGAAAGACTCGGGCAGCAGAACCGCCAAATGCAGCTCATCATCACTGTCAAGCTCTGCTTGCAACCACCCAGGAACCTCAAGCGATGCACACAGCTCATCCATGGTTGCATGAGTCAGGACTGTGTAAATTTTGCTGAAACGTCTGGCTATGTACTCCGCAGCAGGCACAGGCTGCAGCAACTCGAATGCTTGATCCAAGTTGAAGCACCACAACTGCGTCGGCGGCACACCCATGCTTCTCCAGTACCAGCACTGCTCCCGATCAAGCTCTGACATGGCCATTGTATGATCATATGTTTGAAAAACCGACACATCAACAGCACCATAAATATACGGAACATGGCCCCCACGCACATCTACACCCAGCGCTTGCACGGCCTGCTTGACCTTCTCAGAAGATACAAACTGCTGAAGCTGCCGCCTCACACGCTTGGCCTTGAAGGGCAAAACTTTCGGATCTAAGCATCGCCTGCTGTTCACACCAGAAATCAACCATAGAACCACCATGGAGGCAACATCACTGGAGCTTTAAGTTTGAGGAAACTTGGCCTACCTGGTCTCAAGAACTTAGGGTTCAGGTCCCAGGGGGCCTGGTGTGGGCACCGGAATTCAGAAGCTTATGTTTGAAGGACTTCGCACATCTCATCATGTCGAAACAGCTGCAGAAAGCTCAAATCTGCGAGTTCAAAGATCGACCGCAAAACCCCGTCATTCGATCCACGGTCGAGCCGGGCACCCGTGGAAAATGCATGAATCCTGAGCGTGGCTTCTCACCCTTCTCCCGACCGGACCTACTCCTGAGTTTCTGGTTTCTGCGTGTGAGGGGTTTAAGTTGATGAAACGCCAATACAATCACTACGCTTCTATAGGTTCTGCCTCATGTTTTAGGGTTTGGGGTTTAGGGTTTAGGGTTTAGGGGATAATCTAAACCAGCCCTTTTTTTATTTTTGAGTCGCAAAAGCGCATGTGAGACGTCTGTACAAAAGATGATGCTCATGATGCCTGAATGGGTGGCCTGAAGCCCATGATGCAGGTATTCCCCTACCATGCAAGCGAATTAGGCAACCGCACCCAGACATGCTTCGCGCGAAGCCGAAAGCCCAACTTACCA